ATTATAGCCATGATCGCAGTTTAAAATTCAGGTCACTGTGAAGTCACAATGGTCTACAAATCTAAAGCTAAAACCTTCTAGAACAGTTCGTGATGATGCATACAGGCAGTATTGCTTTGCGGGTAAGAGCACCAGCCAAAGAGGCTGAGGCTGGTTCTTGTTCACTCGCCTGTACGACCCTGGGCAAAACACACCTGCATTTTTCCCCCATGCTTCAGTTTCCCCCGCTGTAAAATGAGAATAATGGTGCCTACTTCATAGGGTTTTGTTAAGCAGCGCTTACCAAGAGTAGTATCTATAAGCAGTTAGATGCATGAGAAATGTTAGCTGTTGTTACTGCTCTGCTAGTAAATGTTGCTGTGAAAGTATTAAAAATACCACCATAAATCATGCCCAGCTGGTTCAGAAAAGAATCATCCCAAATCATATAAAAACTCTTTAAAAAAACAGTGGTTATCAATGTGTTGAGGCTACATCAATTATTATGTTCATGTTTTAAGTACATCTATCCTGCAAGATTACATATATACTATTCATTGGTAATAAGGGAGGAGAAATACTGACAGTGAGATATGTACAAAAACAGGTCAAAATACAAACACTCCTGGACACATTTTCATAAATACACTAAATTCAGATCAAACTTATTACTGGGTATTAAGTACTTCTGTTGTTCTGCGAAAGTCCATTAAGTAAGTTCTTTACTACATACATGGATGTCCTCAGCCATCCCACACAACTATAATATTTTTGTACAATTAAGAATCACAACTTGAATCTTGTAACACTCTGACAAGTTCCAAGTTATATACAAATGTCTTCTACTACCACATATTTAGCATGCCAGACCCATTGCTGAATCTGAAACACTAGAATTTAACCTAACACTAAAATGCTACCTTCAAATATTTTATAACATTCAATAAAATGTTAGCCAAAGGGCAGATGCTGTGTTGTAGTGGGTAAAGCTGTCACCTGCAGTGCCGGCATCCCATATGGGCGCCGGTTCAAGTCCCGGCTGCTCCACTTCCGATCCAGCTCTCTGCTAATGGCCTGGGAAAGCAGTAGAAGATGGCCCAAGTCCCTGGGCCCCCGCACCCACGTGGGAGACCCAGAGGCAGCACCTGGCTCCTGGCTTCGGATCAGCTTAGTTCTGGCCGTTGTGGCCATTTGGGGAGTGAACCAGTGGATAGAAGACTTTCTCTCTCTCTCTCTCACCCCCTCCCCCCATCCCTGCCTCTCTGTAACTCTGCCTTTCAAAAATAACTAAATCTTTTTAAAAAATTAAATAAAATGTTGGCCAAATGACCTCTCCAATGGTCTAGTTAATTTACACTCAAGATACCCTTGTTGTAATTTTTGAGGCTGCCCAGCGTTTCCAGCAAGCTAGAAGGCAGTGTAAGCTGTGGAAAAACAGATTCAGTGTTTACAATGCCACAAGGGCAGTTTACACGACACGCTTGTGCCTCAGTTTTTCATCAATAAAATGAGAAAACATGGAATAGGTGTTATCTTTTCATTTCTAAAAATCTCTGTAACTCTACAAGGAGAGTAGCAGCTATAATGCAAGAATATGCACCTTAAAAAGACAGCTTTCTCTTCCTTCAGCATATTTTAGGAAATGGAACAGTTCATTTGTACACAGAGGTCACTAGCATATGTTTGGGGATGACGATACTCAAATGATGTCTGAGTTCATTTGTCTCTTTTTCTGCTCAATGATAATATATACATATATTAGCTGACACAAAACTTATCATTTAAGCATTCCACAGATACACATTTAGCAAGCAAGCCCTTACCAACAGTTTACTACCAGTTGAGAGTTAACCTTTCAATTAGCTGAGTTCTAAATAATAAGCAGATTTTGCACTGCATTCTCATTCATTTGTTTTAATGTTTTCTAGATGAAAAAATTAAGGAAGCATTGCATTTTTAAAGAACTGAAAATCATGTACAAAGCAGATTCTTTACAGAATACAGGGCACTGAAAACAAAACTGATTTAAAAAGTTTTTAATTTTTAAAAGCCATAGGTTTTTCCTCAACAAACCTAACCAATGCACCGTTTTTGAGAATCTGGCCAGGACTGAGAAACAACAGTATCTTTTCATGGGACAAGACTATGAAACATTTTTCTCCAAATTATTATTTGATATTGATTTCTCAAAAGATGGTCTTCCCATGAATCTAAGGGGGAAAACCAATCACGTTTTACAGTAAACTCCATACATTCATGTCAAAAAATTAACAAACCAAGAAAACATGGGCATTTTATTGTGAAAAACCTCTATTTTTTAAAATTGTACCACAGTAACTTCTAAAGTAACTAAAACAGTTTTGTGAGTTTTATGTATTTTATAACCATTTTTAAAAGATTTGTCTAGGAGCCGGTGTTGTGGTGTAGCAGGTAAAGCTGCCGCCTCTGATGCTGGCATCCCACAGGTGCCAGGTCACATTCCGGCTTCTCTGCTTCTGATTCACTCCCTGCAAATAGCCTGGGAAAAGCTGTGGCGCATGTCCCCTGTGTCTGGGCCCCTGCTGCCCACTTGGGAGACCTTGATGAAGCTCCTGGTTTTGGCCTGGCATAGTGTTGACCATTGAGGCGATCTAGGGAGTGAACCAGCAGATGGAAATGGAAGATACCTCTCCCTCCCCCAACTCAGCCTCTCAAAATGAAATAAAATATTTGTCTAAAATTGTTTTTGTTTCTCTCTACGGCATTTATACTTACCTACAATGCACTTTCTTTGCTAGCATATCTGTCCTAAATAGAACAGTTTAAGTCAACAGCAGTTTGAGTTTAATGACTTCCCCAATAAAAACTTCTAAGATGAAATGAGTTTATCATACGTATATATAATTATGCTTCTCAAAATAAAGTACCAATAACATTTTTGCATCACTGAAGAAAACTTGCAGTCTAACACAAAAATATAAACCATGTAGTAAGCAAGTGGAATAGTAAAGAACCAAACATGTGATGGTTGAAAGAGATAGTCTACTTAAAAAACACATCATTCCTCCACTGCTATCCTGTTCACTGAATACATTACTAGCTGAAATCACACATTTCTAACTAAACCCTTAATGTGAGTATGAGAGGCTGGCCTGTATCTTTTCACATGAAACAGAGTTAAGACTTGAGATAAAAATTGTCCATTGTAAAAAGAGGCCTAGGTAAAGATCTTCAAAATTATCAAGAATGTGTTTAAGACAATAATGACCTGAACTGTTCAATTAATTGCAATAATTCTTCTATTGCATTTGATGTTTTTAAAAGGGAAGACATCAAAGTCACAAATTTTAAAAAGGAAGAAATCCAATGCTAAATGGGGGAAAAAATAATTACGATGGCCTTTTCAATCTAAGGGGATACTCATAACACAACTATTTAGCAAGAAATTAAAGACTGAAGCAAAAGTAGAAACGTCAGCTTAATCAAATCTACAATTCCACCTTCCATTATTAAAATTTTGAGCAGCAGAAAGTATTTTGTCCCCCTAATTTTCTACACTTCCACACTGGACCAATCCACCAGAAATTAAGTATCACACCAAATTCCAAATACTCTTCACGAAAAACTGAAATTTTTAACTTCCCTCAGAACAATGCTGTGGATTTATCAGGAACTGAAAAACAACAAAATCAGTTATAGGTGTGCGCATCTGACATGGTGGTTAAGACGCCACTGGCAACACCCACATCCGATACTGGAGTGCCTGGGTTCTGGGTTCAAGTCCCAGATCTGCTACTGACTACAACTTCCTGCTAACATACACCCTAGGGAGGAGGCTATGGGTGATGGCTCAAGATGTTAGCTCCCTGCCACCCAGGTGAAAGACTGGGACTGAGTTCCATGTTCCTGGCTTCAACCTGGCTCTGCCCGGACTTCTGCAAACATTTGGTAAGTGAACCAGCAGATGGGAGATCTTTCTTTGTCTATGCCTGCATCTGTCTCTCTCTCTGTGTGCCTTTCAAATAAATACAACACAATAAAAAATACAAATATGACTGGTTTCAAAATTGAAGTTCTTTTGGGTACTATACTTTTTCTTAGTCAAATGGCAGAAAAAGCAAAGGATGGAATTCAAAATTGTTCTCTATTGCATTAACCTTGAAAACCCAGTCAATGAAATGTATCATCATCAATCAACAAAACAATCCTGAAAGAGCTCTAAAAACCACATCTTCACATGGTAATCTCTGGTCTGTAAGAAAGTTGAAATACTCAAAACAGAGGCCAGTGTGTTATGAGACTATTATTCATCTTCACCCTAATAACAATCTCCTGTTACTGCTTGTCACTCCTGAAAAACAGAAAATTTTAAACTATGAATCTGAAAAAAACATAAGAATGTATGTTTACCAAAGTGTTAGAATTCTGGGCAATATTTTTTTCCTCCCAAAAGTAACTATCAAAAAAAAAAAAAAAAAAAAACCACTTTACTAAAACTTATCTCCTTCCTTATCATACAAAAGACAAGAGTCTGGTTTTGCTTAAATTCTTCTGATTTTTAAAATGACTATTTAGGGGGCTAGCGTTGTTGCATAGTAAGTTAAGCCATGGCCTCCAACACAGGCATTCCATTTGGGCTACAGTCTAGCTTGACTTCCTATCCAGCTCCCTGCTAACGTGCCTAGGAAACCAGTTTATGGCCCAAGTGCTTGGGCCCCTGCAGCCACATGGGAGACCTGGATGGAGTTCTAGGCTCCTGGCTCTGGTCTGGCTCAGCCCCAGCTGTTGCCACCATTTGGGGAGTGAACCAACAGATGGAAGACCTTTCTATGTCTATGTCTCTCTCTCTATAACTCTGCCTTTAAAATAAATAAATAAATCTTTAAAATGACTATTTAGTCACAAATAAGGAAACTGTGTGTTTCAAAATAACAAAGAAAGTAATGAAGACTATGTTTTCAGAAAGGACATGCACTCACCGACTTGAGTACACAGAAACACATGCAAACACACCAAAACAAACAATAAAAATGAATAAAAAATTCAATAAGTTTTTAAGTTTATTACAAAAATAAGCATCTTCCTAGTCTTAGAAAAGTCCATCCATAAGATACCCATAAAGTGAAAGTAAAATTCTCCCAAAATCTTGTCCATTTTCTTCACTGCCCTTTTCCAACAGGTACTAGAGTCGTGTGTGGTCCTCCAGACATTTCTATGCATCTGCACACAAGTCAATCCTTTAACACACACACACATGCACACAAATTACAGCATTCTACATGAAGTTTGGGACTTGTTTTTAAATGATGTATTCTGATCACTTTTCCCTTTCAGCAAATTTAAAACGTCTTTATTTTTTCACAATTGCATAGTATTACATTAGGCTCTTCTTAATCAGTTCCCTTCTAATAGAGAATTACACTGATTCCAGCTTTTCAGGACTGTAAGCCACGCTGCAATGAGCACCACTATTCAGAACATCTTCATGCACTGACTTCGATTTTGTGCGAAGGATAAATTCCTACAGAGGACACTGTGGCAAGCAGCAGGGCAGGCAGCATCCACTTCTCCCATCTCCTCAACCAATTCCGGGTACTGCTTGTCCTTTTAACCTTCTACAATGCTGTAAATGAAAAGGACATGTCGTTTTCACCTGTGTCTACTTAAGAGTGAAGATGAGTGTTTATCAACCAGTTGCATTGCCTTATCGCAAATGTATTTTCTATTGCGTTACTCTTCTCTCTTTTTTCTACCAAATTTTTACAAGTTTTCTGCCAGCGTTCAATCAAACATGCTGTAAATACTCCTCCAGTTTAGATGCTTAACTTGGTTTGTGATGTTTTCAGCACTACAGAAATGTTTATAGTTTTATCCAATTAAACCTATGTGTATGCTTCCGCACAGTTTCAGTTTCGAGCTATACTATGGAGCTTTCTCAGGCAAAAACTGGGAAGAAAGTGTTTATGTAACTTCTACATCATCGCTTAAATACTGTCAACAATATGGAGGTGCCAATACCCTCAGAGGCAGCTCCCTTCCAATACCATTATTTAACAGAAATAAGTCAGTTACGCTGTCTCTGAAACTTCCCTATGATCAACTACCATATCAAAGGTTTCAATTCCTTCCAAGGAGTTGAAAATAGTCATTACCAAGCAGGTTTAATTTCTGGCAAGCCACAACTCTTTTGTACCTCAATCTTCAGGTCATCTTCAACAGCATAAATGCAAAATAAAGCCCAATAACTAGGTCTTCCCTATTGTTGCTATAATCTAGTCACTGCTACAAAAGTCACTGAATACTTCCTGTATAAACAAACTTGCAATTTCACAATGCCAAAAAACTGATTATTGTGCTATCAACGCAGTATACTGGTCTTCTCCATCTCAGGTTCTAAGTAAAATTCTACCTCAAGTCACAATTATAAAATAAGCCACTTGAGTTTGTGTATGAATTCAAACCACGACTTAAAAGCTAAATTAGATGGCTAATGTAGCCACTCTCTCCATTCCCCCATCAAGGGGGCAAAATAAATAAATAAGCAAAATAAATAAACAAAGAGGAAAAAAAAAAAAAACCTGGTCATAAGTTTTCCTTACAGTGCCAGCTTGCCAGGCATTTCACAGCCTTCCATCTCTAAGCCGACTGGCACAACAAGTCATACAACTTGGAAGTTAAGGAAATTGGCAGAACTCAGAAGGGAAAAAAGAATACTTTCCACAATTTGCACAGCACTTGTTTAGCGCATATGTAAGTGTTTCCAAAGTGGTGGTCAACTCTTCAAACTACTCTGGGAGCATCACAGCACTTCACGTCAACTGCTGCCAATTCCATGCAGTGGCCTCCTTCCCCTTCGGGGACTATTCAGAAAGTTACTATTTTCTTTTACAACTACTCACCCAGGCCTCTTCCACTGATGAAAGCAGGCAAAGCCCACGCTGTGTGTCTGTCTCCTAGAGAAGATTGCATCTTTTATTTATCGCCCCTTGGCTTTATTTTCACAGTGAATTCCTGGCTTAAATGCAATCAGCCAAGAAACCCTCCCTATGTGCTCTCCTGTCATTCCTCATTGCTTACAAGCAGAGTCAAGCACAGAGGGGGGAAAAAAAACCCTCGACACGGCCAGCCAAGCCATAAAACTCCGCAGACTCTAGTCTGTTATACTGAGAACCCAGAGACGGGCTTCCATCCGTTTCAACTAGGCAGGAAACAAACAACCCTCTCCCCAACCACCCAAATAGGTGTAACCTGAAAGAATGTTAATTAGACTTTTAAAAAAGGGGAGGGGGACAGAGAGCCGCAAAAGCTAACCCCCCTCCAGACAGAAGGAAAGGTTGCTGGGCATAGAAAAGGCAACACTGGGGAACTGGGGGCTGCCTTTGGAAATAAATGACCATGCAGAAAATCACGTTTGCAGATTGCATTAGAATTCAAATTAACCAGACAGGATTAAAACAAATCTTAATTCTCTCTTGGGGCCCTCATCCAGACCCCCACCCCACTCCCAAAAGAGAAAGATAAAAGGAACTGACTACAGAAAAAAACAGAGGAGATTAAGTTTAAAATCAAAGAGACAGAGATGCTTCCAAATCTATCCCCATTCATTTGGTATCCTGTCCACCACCATTTCAAGTAGACTAACGTGGGAGGGGGTGGGAAAATTTGCCATTTGCAACCAGCAGAAAAACACGGAGAGAGGGGAGTTTCACTACAGCATTGTTCTTTTCATTCCGGCTCCAACATTCCCATCTCTAGGGCTGAAAGAGATAACTGGACAGGAAAAGAAAACACACACACACACACACACACACACACACGCACACACGCACACAGAGAAGGGGGTGCCGGAGCCGCTTTTAGACCGGGCATTTAAGAAAACTCTGCCAGAGAAAGGAGGGCTGTGTGCAGCTTTTAAATCCCAAGTCCTTCTCTCGCCTTTGTCAAATATCTTCTACTTTACAAGCCCTGAAAAGAAATAGAGAGACTCTTTTGTTTGGTTTCCCCTTTTCCGAGAGTGACAGAAAATGGAAAGGGACACAAACAAACCTGCGACAGAGAACAATGTGCCGGCGTCTCGGCTGGTGGCCTAAGAAAGCCTGTCGTTAGCTCATCCGCCTCGCGCTCGGCGGCAGCCCCGGGCCGCGGGCACCTCCCTCTGGACGCCCAGCTGCACACCAAAACTTCTGGCGGCCGCGCGCAAACCGGGAGACGCGAGCGGCTCCGGCCCGGGCTCGCGCCCCTTCATCAGGGGGCAGCCTTGCGGGGCGAGGGCCCTCCGGAGGCGCGGTGCAGCCCGCCGCCGCCGGTCTCCTGCGCCGCTCGGGGGTCCCGGAGGACCACAGTTAAGGGAAAGGCATTCGCGGCCGGGGCGGCCGGGGCGGCCGGCCGGAGCCCGCCCGGGCCAGACGCCGCAGCGCCCCGAGCGCCACCGTCGCTCGCCCGTCGGAGCCCGGAGCGGAGCGGCCGCCGAGCGGCTTTCAATGGATTTTGTATTCCCCTCCCCTCAGATCGCGGGGGGCGGGGGAGAGAAAGAAAGAGGAGCGAGCGACAGACAGGGGGAGACGGGGTGGGGGGGCGCCGAGCGGCCCGGCCCCGGCCGGCATTGTCTGTGCGGCCCGCGCCCCCTCCCCCGCCCCGCACGGCCCCGCCACTCTACCCTCGCCGGAGCCCGGCCGTCCGCCCGCGCCTTTGTCCGCGCCCACCCCACCCCACCCCCCAAAACAGGCGAGCGGCCCCTCTGGGATGTGCTCCCCGGGAGGAGGGCGGGGAGAGGAGCGCGGGCCGGGGGCGCCTGCACCCACCCAGCCGACCCCGCGGAGGGGCGCGTCCTGCTGATTCATTTCGCACTCGCGCCGGCCCGTCCGGGGAGACCGGGGCGGGAGGAAATGGGCGCTCCGTTCGCGAGGACAGTCCGGGCCGGTGAGGGCACCGGGCGGGGATGCGGGCGCGCCTCGGGCTGGGGCGGGGGGGGGGCTGTCCGCAAAGGAGGAGCGGGAGACCCCGGCCCTCCCCCCGGGACGGACGGCCGGACGGCCGGACAGACGGCCTGCAGCTGCCCCGTGACTCACCGACTTGCAGGACGTTGTCTACGCAGCCGCCCTCCAGCAGCGCGATGCCCCGGCGGAAGGGCAGCCGCGTCTCGTCGCCGCCGTCCGCCGCCCCGGCGGCCCCCACCGACGGGGCCCCGGCCCCCGCGGCGGCGGCGGCGGCGGCGGCAGCGGCGGCAGCGGCGGCGGCGGCTGAGGTGGCGGCCGGCGAGGACGAGGAGCCGCCGCCGCCGCCCGCGCCGCCCGCGCCGCCGCCCGTGCCACCGGGGCTGCCGCTGTCGTCGCCGGGGCCGCCCGCGGCGCCGCCGCCGGTGTTGAAGGACGAGTACATGCAGATCTCCCGCTCGCTGCGGGGGAAGGACCAGTAGACGATGCGGCGCTGCACCGGCTCCGGGATGCGCTCGAAGCGCTCCTCTACGCGCTGGAACGGCCACTTCTCGGCCACCCTGCGCGCCGCGATGTCCAGCAGCGATTCGGGGCTCTGGGTCTTGCCCGGCGGCAGCAGCCCCAGCGCCGCGCCGCCCCCGCACGCCGCCGCCGCCGCCGCGCCGCCCGCCCGCGGGCCGGGCCGACAGGCAGAGCTGTAGCCGCCACCCGCGCCGCCGCCGCCGCCGCCGCCGCCGCTGCTGCCCCCGCCGCCGCCACCGCCGCCGCCGCCGCCGCCGCCGCCCGGCCGGCAGCAGAGCCCTTTTTGCGGGAGGAAGGGCTGCAAGTCCCGCTTCCGCTTCCGCGCCGCTTCTAACCCGACAGCGGAAGTGCCGGGACCCTATAAACGGCACAAGGAAGCGCGACACGCACACGCCGTCGCGACGCCACGCTGCCATCTAGGGCCCGCCGCTCCTTGTACGGGCACAGGAGGTGGGGCCTGCTGCCTGACGTCGAAGTCGAGGCGGGGCTCCGATAGGGGGAACCTGGGGCTGGGGGCGGGGCCTATGCAAATCGCTGGGCTGAAACATAAATAGAGCACTCCGCGGACACGGGGGTGGCGGGGGCGGCCGGGTTGGATGCGCGGTGGGTTGTGAGAATGTCAGGCTCCTGTGACGCGGGAGGCGGGGCCCAGGCGGGGTTCCCGCGGGAGGGGGCGGGCCGCCGGGCCGGGCCTGAGGTGGGTGGGTCCCTGCGCCCCCTGCCTGCTCAACTTCCCTCTCCAGCTCCCGGCTCGTCTTTGATGTCCGACAAGTGAGGACGCGCCTCGTGGGTCGCAGCGGGGAGGGCAGGGAAAATGGGGGTATGTAAAGGGGAGGGGTCTGAGCTAAATGGGGGGCGGGGTCCGCAGGGCGATGCCCCACCCCGCCCCACCCCCGTCCGCCTGCCCGCCGTTGGGGAAAAGCCTCTGGGCGGAGGAGGCGCTTTCAAAACAAAGAAATGCGGCATGGAGCCCGGGGGACGCGGGTGGGGAGGAAGGCGGAGGAGGCGCGGCCGAGGCCGCCCGGCTGCCCGCTTCCCTTCCAGCCAGTCCGGGGGAACTTCCCCCACCCCCGGCCGAGGCTGCGGCGGCGGGGAGCGGGGCTGCGCGCGGCGGCTTTTTCCCCCACTTCACTTTCGCAGACCCGGGTGGGCAAGGAGCGTCCGTTCCGCTGCTCCGCGTGGCTGCAGCTCCGCAAGCGCTGAGCCCCGCCGTCCGCTCTGGCCGCGGAGCCGGCCAAAGGCCAGAAAATGCGCAGAGCGCTCGCAACCTACCCCGGAGCCGCCGGCCGCGCGTCCCGAGCCGGCCGCAGCCGCAGCCGCCGCCGCCGCGCCGCGCCCCGCCCCGCCGCCTCGCTCCCCCAGCGCCTGCGGCCGGGAAGCTGGAGCAGCCGCGCCCGGAGACCCTGCTCGGGGTGGAGCGTGCACCACCGGGGCAGTGCGTTTAGCAAACACACCTTTGTGAGTACACACGCCGCGGGGGCGGGCGACACCCCCACGGGCCGCTCGGCTGCGCCCGGCGGCGGACAGCGGCTGCGAGCGCACCCCGTGCGCCCTCGGGTCTGCGGCCCTGCCCGGAGCCGGGCGGGCGCTCGGGACGCGCGCCGCGCTGGCTGTCGCGGGCGGCCACTCCTCCCGGGGCCCGGCGGGGCAGGGGCGCGGACGAGGGGCGAGGGCGCCGGCTCAGGCGGAGCCGCCAGCCCCGCTGTGAAGCGGGGTTCCCGCGGACACGCTTCGCCCCGCGCGGAGCCGGCGCGCGCGTTAGGGACTGCCTTCCTCCGCCGCCCCCTCTGTGTTTACTGTCAACAGCGTTGGAGATAGTGTCCCGCTGTCGGCGATAAACCCTATCTCCTTTGACACTTTCGCATCTCTTAAGGCCACGGGCTGCCGCCCTCCTGCCCGCCCGCACAGCCACGAAAAATCACGCGCGGAGGCCGATCCCGCAGACCCTGAGCCTTGCGTGGCTCCGTCGCGAGTCCTGGGCTGCGGGTCCCTGGGGCTGCGACGCGGGCGGACTTTCCATGGCTGCCTTACTTGCGAGGAAAATTTTGGTAACACGATGTTTTTTATGCATCCGTCTGGTATTTTTCTGGGCACCTCCTCCACGCCTAGGAAAAGGCCCGGACAGAAGGCTCGTTTTGGACAAATCGAAGGCGAAGTCTCTCTCCATTTGTTTTGTTCCTGGATGTCTTTTAAAGATAAAAGTAGTTTTTGATGTTTTTAAACCTTTTAGGTGATAGGACAAGAAAGTAAGCTAAAAGGGTAAACTACAACTTGGGCTCTATTTTGCCTTCAGCAACGGCCATGGTAGGAGTTTAACAGATATGGTTTGTAGATCACCCACAAAGTTATTGAGCTGCAGAGTTAAAGATGACAAACGGGTGCCCCCAGGCGGGACAAGTGATTCACTCAGGGTCCTAGGGGGTGGTAGTGGGAAAGATTAATTTACCTCGAACAGGAAAATGGACACCTTTGGAGGGGCCTAACGTTGAGAGATGTCAGTGGGTTTAAGGCGTCGCCCTTCCCTAGAAAGATCTAGTTTAACTTTCAAAGACAAATGCAGCTTCGCCTCGCCCCCCCACACACACACCGAGGCATGACCCCTTGCCCACAGCGTTCTCTGAGGGCTGCGCCCACTCTCCCCTGCAGCCACGGCTGGGCCGGGCTCTCAGGATTTCCCTGGCGCTGCCCTGCCTCCCTTGTCTCCGGGTCATCTTTTCTTCCTCCGAAATGTTCAATGTAACCCTGCCCTGCAACCTGTGGTGGCTGATGGCCCTTCCTCTCTCGGGAACCATTCACCCTACAGCTGTCCCCGCAACAGTACTGTCTGCCCCTCGGCTCACTAGTTTCTTCCTGGAGGCCAGCTCACATTTCCAAGATCACCAGGATACCCCTGGCCACCTTAGACGCAAAGTACCACCTTTCCCAGAGCCCAGTCTCCCCTGGGTGTTGGTGACTGTTACACCCCCTTTCCAAGGCTTGCCACCCTGTGCCTTGTTGACTGCCTCTCGCCTGCAGCTCCCACGCCCGGCGTGCTGTGTTGTCTATCCCAGCCCCTCTTCACTGCTCATAGTCGATTATTCCTCCTCCTCGCTCTGCGGGAGCCTCCTGGCTGGTGTGTCTGCATAGGCTTTCCTCCTCCACACCATCTCCCACTCAGCTGCTGTGTTTCCCAAAGTACATCTCTGACGGTGTCACCACTTCCCCAAGGCCCTCTCCGCGGCTGCTGGAAGGAGTCCAGACTCAGAGCTGATCCTAACCAAAGCCAAGTTTCCAGCCTGGACTCCTGTTCAAGCCCAACAGACCTTCTCCCAGTTCCCCTGCAGGATGTAGGGAATGTTCCAGCAGGACCCTGCGCTCTGCACAATTACTCTGGGCGGTCCTGCTGCCTCAGGGCTCTCTCTTCCCTTGCAACTTGTCAAGTTGCCAGTCTCCCTTCAGTGATTTGCCCCAAGGCGACTTCCTCTGGGAAAAGGAAGCCCACCTGGATGTGTGATCTCTCCCACTCCTCAAGCCCCTCTAAAACTGCAGGTCTTCCTTGTGACATTTCGGTCATCTGCCTAGCACCACAGTTACCTTCAGACTTGCCTAAGCCTTGTGTGCTCTCTCTGCTGACTAGAAATTCTCTGAGGGTTGGGATCCTGCGTCATCCATTTCTGTAGCCCCAAAGTGCCTGGCCCTGCACTGCAAGGCTTCTGTCTCCCTGGAGGTTGGCTACACCCATGAGCCCAGAGAGAAGTAAGCAATGGTATGTCATCTTTGGCTGGTGCTTGTGCCACCTCCGATTTCGGGAGATGTATAGTGGGGTGTGTGTGTGTGTGTGTGTGTGTGTGTGTGTCCATGGAAATCATTACTAAATTCCAGCAGGCCTCTAACCCCCGGGACCAAATCAAGGGGAAGAACCCTCTCCAGTGTGTTTACCGTTAGGCAATGGGTGGGAAATCAAAGTACAGAAAGTTTACAGTTTCCCACGTGAGTGAGTCATCATAGCACATCACACCGGACTACATCCGCCAGCCCCAGGCTCCCAGCAGACTGCATGAACAGCACTGCGACTGGCTACACTGACGAACTTAAGAAAGAGGGGCCACCCCCTGCCACCGAAGCACCATACACCGCCTCTGGCCCATTGCATTTGGATGTACATGTGGATGGCAAAGCAATTTACTGGACAAGGGCAGTGGAGTACTAGCCAGAAAGCTATCATGGCTCCTCCACCATCCTTCTATTTTAAAACGAAAACTTTGAATAAGTTCAGTAGAGGTTCATCAAATTCCTGGGGCACTGGTTTTCAAAGAGACCCCTAGGGAGCCCCCAAAGCATAATGTACACGGAAATGAATACGTGGGGCAAGCTCCCCAGTCAGTTGTCTTTACTCTGACGTTTGAAAGCTACCCTTTGGGGGCAAGAACTTCACACAGCCCAGCGCTTAAGAGGAGGCCACGGAGAGAGCAAATGACCTTGCCTCGTCTTTATTGGCAGTCATCTCAGCTAATTGAGACAGTAATTTGCCATTAGTAGGAAGAGTCCAAGACATGGAAATTGGATTAGATCTAAAGAACTTCAAGTCATTTGAAGATGGACACGACACTATATCCATTTCCATGTTGTTTTCCCTACTGGGTATATTCTTGATGTTATAATCGCAATCGATCACATTCTGTGGACTGTAACTAAACGTGTAAAGAGAAGAAAAAACCTAAAACAGCATAGTTAACCTGAGAAACAGGCCTAATTCTCCCCTCAAATAGAGAGTGCCCCAGTGGGTTAACAAGAATGAAGCATCATGTCTTAAAGATGGCGCTGCATCCACGAAAAATGTCCAGTATCAGAGGAACTGCCAGCAGAGTCTTCCTGGCCAGTCCTTTCCAATACGTAGATTCTTGGGCAAAAGACAAGAGGGCAGGGAATGACCAGCCCCAAGCCATCAGTCTTTCCTCTCTCTCTGAAGAGGGGAAAATTTTGGTCCATTGGAACTGTGTTAAATCCTGGAGAATGGAGCCACAGATATCTTACTGTTGGTATTTTTTTTTTTAAACAGAACTTACATACACAATGTTTGATGGCTTCTCCACACCACAGTAAGTCATATGATGCCCCAGCCCCTACACAAGAAACACATGAAGAAACTGAGGCTCAGAGAAACTAGCCAAAAGTTATTTGGCTCCTAATCAACAGCAATTCAATTTCAGTCTGTCTGACTCCAAAGCTAGAACTTTTTCCGTTATCCAGTATTTTCCAAACTTGCCATATTGTAAGAATCAGCCTGAGGACTTGTTAAAAATATAGATTTCCTTTACCTCTCCCCCTGGAGATTCTACCGTGGCAGCACTGGGGTGGGGCTTGGAATCCATCATTTTAACCCATGCCCTGGATAATTCTTCGGCACAAGCAAAATGGGAAACATCCTATCCCACGCCCCCTGTCACTCACTCACCCACACCGTTTCATGCCTTAAGAGAAACTCTTCTAAAACTAGCTGTAACTGTAAGAATGTGCATTCAACCCCTGATCGCCCAGCCAGTCTTTTCCATCTTACTTCCAAGCTCAATGTAGTCTGTTGAGATGGAAGACTTTAGAGTTATCATCTGGAATTTTGGGAAAAAATCATAGGGCCAATCTTGTGGCACAGGTTAAGCCCCCACTTTCAATAATGGCACCCATATGGAAGATCCAGCTCAAGTCCTGGCTCCTCTGCTTCCCATCCCGCTCCTGGCTAATACACTTGGGAAAGCAACAGAAGGTGGCCCAAGTACTTGGGCTGCTGCTAGCTA